TCCCCTTTAGCCATTTTTATACAAATTGGCATTTTATATAAAATGACATTGTTATAATTTTTACCTGCATTCTTATTATTTACATTCTATTTGTTCTGTTTCCATTAATCTAGTTTCCCTTGACCTCCTTGCTCATCTGTGCTTTTGGGTAAGTGTTCACTGTTTAGTCTCATGTAGTTACTTGTTGAAACGAGCACATTACTCATAGGTGATATTGTTTATTTTATAAGTGAATTGATTATTTGGCTGAAAGTTGACCTACTGAAATACCTTCAAATCCATGTCCAAAGATTATCTTAAGGCTATAGTCTCGAGGGTTCCTCTAGTATCTATTGGTTCAGTTAAGTCTGGGCTTCTTTCTAGGAATGTGAATTTTGGTTTACGTTTTTTCTTCCATTCCATCCAGGAACTTTTATTGTGTCCCTGGTTGGAGCAGTTAGTGGTGTTAGTCAGGTATCATGCTAAAGAAAGCTGTGATTCACGTGGGTAATTAGTCCTGCAGACTAGTGTCTTCTTTGAACTTTTCATTATCTACCTTTTATTCCATATGCGTAGAGACCAATGTTTAGATGGCCACTCACAAGCTTTTCAGACTCCAGATGCACTAATCTAGAATGTAGAACACGGTTTCTATGAACTATGTTATGCCAATTGACTAAGTGACCCCTCTAAGTTCTCCTGTCAATCTTTAACATTACTGCTGTTGTTAAATGCCATTGAGTTAGTTCTGACTTATAGCAATCCTGTACAGGGTTTCTAAGGAGCGGATGGCAGATTTGAACTGCTGATCTTGTGATTCAGTTCTTATCCTACAGCACCACACCAGGAGTTCTAATCTTTAATATAGCTTCTATATATTCTTCATACATTCAAATATGTTCCTTACAAACCCTGTAAGCTGCTGCCATTGAGTCAGTTCCAACTGATGGTGACCCATGCCTGACTAACATTACTAATTTCTCTGACCAGGGACACAATACAAGTTCCCAGATGGAATGGAAGAAAAAATGTAAACCAAAATTTACATTCCTAAAAAGAAGTTCTGAGTAGAACTGACCTCCATAGTTTTTGAATGATTGTAGTCTTATAAACCATCACTCGTCTGTCATTTTGTCACACTGTGGTGGCTTGTGTGTTGCTGTGATGCTGGAAGCTATGTCACTGGTATTTTAAATACCAGCATGGTCACCTATGGAATCCAGGTGTGGTGTTGTAGGATAAACACTGGACCACAACGTCAGTTTGAACCACAAGGTGGGCGGTTCAAACTTACCAACCACTTCTCAGAAACCCTGTATAGGGTCACTATGAGTTGGAACCAACTAACTCGATGGGTGGCACTTAACAACACCAAGTGTAATTCGTGATAGACAGGTTTCAGTGCAGTTTCTAGACTGAGACAGACTAGGAAGAAGAGGCAGACCATTTCTGAATTGTTAGCCACTGCATACCATATCAATAGCAACAGAACATTGTCAGGTAAAAGTGCCAGAAGGTAAGCCTCTCAGGTTGGAAGACGCTCAAAATGCAACTGGAGAAAAGTTGCCTCCTCAAAATAGAGTTAACCTTAATGATGTGAGTGAAGCAAAGCTTTTGAGACCTCCAGTTGCTGATGGAGCAAACTCTAAATGAGAAGAAACAGTTGAAATCATCTATTAATAATTGGAACTCAGAATGTATGAAGTGTGAACCTAGGAAAATTGGAAGTCGTCAAAAATGAAATGAAACGTGTAAAGATCAATATCCTAGGCATTAGTGAACTGAAATGGACTGGTATTGGCCATTGTTAATCTGAAAATCATATGGTTTACTATGCTGGGAATGAAAAATTAAAGAGGAATGGATTCACATTCAGAGCCAAAAAAGAGCATCTCAAGATCTTTCTTGAAATATAATGCTGTCTGTGATAGGATAATATCCATATGCCTACATGGAAGATCAGTTAAAACCACTGTTATTCAAATTTATGTACCAACCAATAAAGCCAGTGATGATGAAATTGAAGAATTCTACCAACTTTTTTAGTCTGAAATTTAGTTGCATTGATAATTACTGGTGACTGGAATGTGAAACTTGGAAACAAAGAGGAATGATCAATATTTGGAAAACGTGGTCTTAGTGATAGATAGGATATTCACATAGCATGATAGAATTTTACAAGACCAATGACTTAATTCACTGCAAATACTTTTTTCAATAACATAAATGGTGATTATATATGTGGAGCTCACCAGAAAAAACACACAGGAATCAAATTGACTATATCTGTGGGATGAGATGATGGAGACGCTTAAGATCATCAACCAAAAGAAGGTCAGAGGCCGACTGTGGAACAGACCACATATGAAACACATATGAACAGACTCATATGAAAGTTCAAGCTGAAGTTGAAGAAAATTAGAACAAGTCCATGAGAGCCAAAATATGACCTTGAATATATCCCACATGAATTTAGAGGTCATCTTATGAAGAGATTTGATGCATTAGACAGTGATGACTGAAGACCAGAAGAGTTGTGGGATGACATCAAGAACATAGTACAGGAATAAAGCAATGTGTGTACGTGTTGCATGCTGTTGAGTTGGTACTGATTCATAGTGATCCTGTATAGGATTTCCTAGGTTGTAAATGTTGTGGGAGCGGAGACCTTCATCTTTCTTCTTTGGAGCAACTGGTGGATTCAAACTGCTGACCTTGCAGTTAGCAGCCTACTATGCTATGAGGGCAAAAGGTCACTAAAAAAAAGAAAGAAAAGACCAAAATGAATGTCACAAGAGATTCTGAAATTTGTTCTTTAGAGTAGAGAAACTCAAGTGAAATGAAAGAAACGAGGAAGTAAAAGAGCTTCACAGAAAATTTCAAATGTCATCTCACGAAGAAAAAGTAATATAATGAAAAGTGCTAAGACCTGGAGTTAAAAATCCAAAAGGGACACCCTCACTTGTCTATACCAAGAAATTTGGAAGCCAGCTACCTAGACAACCAATTGGAAGACATCCATATCTGTGTCCATTCCAAAGAAAGGTGACCCAATGTAATGTGGAAATCATCAAACAAAATCATATCCATGTAAGATTTTCCTAAAGATATTTTAAAAAGTGATTGCAGTAGTACATGAACAGGGAGCTGCCAGATATTCAAGCTGAATTCAGAAGAGGACATGAAACTAGGGACATCACTGTTAATGTCAGATGGATCTTGGATGAATGCAGAGAATACCAGAAAGATGTTCACTTGTGCTTTATTAACTATGCAGAGGCATTTGACTGTATGGATCATGACAAGCTATGAATAACATTTTGAAGAATAGTTATTTCAGAACACTTTAATTGTGCTCATGAGGCACATGTACATAGACCAAGAGACAGTTGTTAAGCAGAAAAAGGGGTTACTGAATGGTCTAAAATTAGGAAAGATGTGTGCCAAAGTTGTATCCTTAGACCATATTTATTTAATCTGTATGCTGAGCATATATTCTGAGAAGCTGGATTATATGAAGAAGAACGTGACGTGAGGATTGGCAGAAGGCTCATTAGCAACATGTTATATGCAGATGACACAACCTTGCTTGCTTGCTGAAAGAAAAGAGGACTTGAAATATTCATGATGAAGATCAAAGACAACAGCCTTCAGTATGGATTGTACCTCAGTGTAAGAAAATGCAAATTCTCACAAATGGGTCAATAAATAACATCATGAAGAACGTAGAAGACTGAAGTTGTCAAATACTTCATTTTGCTTTGATCCACAATGAATACTCATGGAAGCACCCAACCCACAGAGACCCTGGTATAGGGTTTCCAAGGAGCATCTGGTGAGCTTGAAACACTGACCTTGTGGTTCAAAATGACTTTACAGTCCAGCACATTAACCCACAGTGCCATACTATTCCTTAGCACAGGCCTCAATCTAACTCCACCTCCCCAGAGAATGAGGACCAGCACACTTCCTCAAGGAGGCCCACCCCAGAGTCTAGCAGCTAGGGGACTGTTACTGAATTAGCGCCCATGAGACAGTGGGAGTATGTCTTGTACATTAAGCACAATTAACAACGTTATGGATTCATATTTTAAGTATTTTGGTAATTCAAGAATCTCTATGACAGGATTTGCAAGTATATACAAAAATCATGTAAAAATGCAGTTTTTATCTGAGGACTTTTTTCTAGCCAAAGTCAATGGTGCAATGTCTCCAAATATAATCTGATAAAGAATTGCTCACTTTCCATCCATTTATTGTTTTCATTTATTTTGCTTTTGTAGATTAAAAGGTTGCAGTTTGTGGAGAGAGTTCAGCACAACTTTTTTCCCCCCCCCCCCCAAAAAAACAAAACAAAAACAGAGAAAGCTGTTTTTAAATATAAACCCACAGCACATAACCACCACCACTTTTTAGTGAATAATTAAAGAAAAAAATAAATAAATCAAAGATCACCTTTACATTTGTCAGTCAGTGGGTGAAAATGTTGAGGCTGACCACAGTGGATTTGCCACCATACAAAGTCTGTTTGAATCAGGAGAGTTAACTCTGTAATGCTGTGGGACACCTCAGCCCAGACCAAGGGGATGGTGGTGGATGCTGGAGAATCAGTGAGGTAATCCATCTGCCTTTGAGGACCGCTTCTAGTGAGGATTTGAGACTTGGCTGCATTTTCATCACCTCTTCAATAACCACTTACCTCAGTCTCAAAAAAAGAAAATTCTGACATCTTAATTTTAATGTGGGCATTTGATCCAGTGCTTGAGATAAATATAACCCTGTGTAGTACACAGAAGGTTTAATGGGAAATGGTTGGCATTCTTTCTTGCAAGGGCATGAGGGAAGGAAAGAGAGAAAAGGAGAGGGAGAGAGAGAGGGAAAAGGAGAGGGAGAGAGAGAGGGAGAGGGGGGAAGAGAGAGAGAGGGAGGGGTGCAAACAGTAGTGAGGAAGACAAAGGCAGAGATAAGTGAGGCCCCAGAGCAGCTTCTTCTAAATTGACTCTGGCCAGACCCCAGCAAGCATGGTTGCTTTGTATCTGATGACTTTGGGAATTTATCTTCAGCTTTCCTTCTGTTTTGTCATGTCTCAGCCTACTTTCATCAGCAGTGGCCTCCCAATTTCAGCAGGTAAGCGATGACCACAACTTTCTTCTCTGCATCTGTCATGGGGAGTTGGAGAGGAGGAAGGAAGATGGTTTTGCAACATGTTGTGATTTTTTTTTTTTTTTTTTTCCCATTCTACCCTGAGTGGAGGGTTGTTGGAAGGGAGCTGATCACTGCAGCAGCTTCCTGTCCCCCAGGCTGGGCATGGAAGCCCCTCTGTCCTTATTCCCACCAGGCCCCACCAGGGTGTTCAAAGCTAGAAGACCTTTCTGAAAAATGTTTCTGCCTTCCTCACTCCTTGCAATTTATACGACTTCATTTTCATCAGTAATTTGGGGAGGCCAAAAGAGACAGAGGGAAGTGAGCCCCTGAAGTTTTTATAAATACACCTTTGCCCTCTTCCAAACGGGGCGCAGCGCAAAGGTGATGTTTCAGCGTAAACATGCCCTGCCTGAGCCCGGACAGTGTCTCCCCACCAGGACAGCTCACAGTGGATCCTCCCGAAGGATTAGGTTTCCCATTTCTCTAGCCCTGCCTGCTTTCCTGTTTGTGCTTTCTTTCTGGGGTGAGACTTCCTCTCAGTTCCAGACAGGACAGCCAGCAGTCCTGAGTGAAGGGGGCTTTGCCAGGGGTACATGGGGTCCCAGAGTGACATTTGGGCCTGTAGTTGGTTGTGTCTGCTGGTGCAGGGTGCGGGGGTTTGGGGAACGGTGTCTTCTGCTAGCCTGACAACCTTTTCTGAGGGCACTAGCAAATCGTCCTTGTCCTGTCTGACCTGGAGCAGGGGAAGTATTGGGTTACTGGTAAGACCTGTTTATACCTTTCTGAGGAAACTCACATGTTTCCGGAGGATCTGAGGGTGGCAGTCTGACCCCAAGGTTGCCACCTATTTTTTCACATACCAATTCACTCCACCCCCAATTCACCTCAGCTTCCCCTGGTCTCCCTGGCAAAGGTAGTGTTAGTCATGTTTTCCAAATTGAATCTCATAAATACTCCATTTGAGGCAGAAATTCACCCTGACTGCCTTTGCTAGAAAGACAGGGAGCTCCAGAACCCCCCGGCCCTTCAATAGGACTTATTCCTGAATCCAGCCCCAGCCACTCTCCATTCATAAAAACAGCACACTGATCTGTTGCAGCTGCCAATGGCTGTGGGCTCTGACGGAGTGACTCAGAAAAGGCCAAGGGCTAATTATAAAGTGTGAGGAACTGATGGAGGAGAATCCCTGGAGGATACTGGGGGTGGTGGGTGGGCAAGAAAGGTGGGTGGTGTGCTATCACAGTAAGCACCACAATCCCTCAACAAATTCAAATTGGGAGTGCCTAGCTTCTTTTATCATTCTCCTTTTCCAGGAGGGAAACTTGATGGTTAATTTGGTGGCTTTCTGCTTTGAATCCTCGATCTCTGAGAAGCTTCTATAGACTCAGATTTAGAAAAAAATCTGCCTTCCTGCTGGGCTCTGATGCATTCTCTGACTTTGAGGAGACAGTTAAGGTTAGGCTGTAACGCCTATGTGGACAGGGATCGATTATGTCTATTTTATACAGGATCATAGCTTCTCCAGGTCAAAACAGTGCCCAGCACACTGAGGTGCTCAATAAATATTTGGTGAAGGAAGGAATGAAAACTTTTCTCAATTGTAGACTGCGGTTTACCATCACTTCATTTAGCAAGAGTCAGAATTGGTATTGGTGAATTCTGAAAGCTAGAGACAAAAGCACTTTTGATTTTCTTTGAATGACTTTCTCCCGGGAAAGGTATGTAGCCCAGACATAAGGCTTAGACATCTTTTAGTTAACATTTTCCCTTTGTAGACTGTACCAGTCAGAGTAACAGCAGGAAAAAGAAATAATTAAGATGACTCACATGAAAAGACTTGAAAAATGGAGGGTGTGTGAGGTTAAAGGAACCAACAAGGAATGTTGAAACACTTAGAGATTCGAAATCCTAGGAAGCCTTTCCAACTACATGATTCAGAAAGAAAGGACACCTGTTGGTACAGTAGGCTAGGCATTGGCCTGCTAACTACAAGGTCAGCAGTTCAAATCCATGGGAGCTACTCTATGGGAGAAACATGAAGCTATCTGCTTCTATAAAGATTTACAGTCTTGGAAACCCTACGGAGTAGTTTCAGTCAGCTCTAAGGGTCGAGTCCTGGTGTGGCGCTGTAGGATAAGCACTGGACCAAAAGGTTGGCTTGAACCACATCGATGATTGTTCAAACTCACCAGCCACTCCTTGAACTCAACAGTACTTCACAACAACAACAATAGGACCACTATGAGTTGGAGTCAACTTCTGGCAGTGGATTTGAGTGGGTGCTTAAAGAAGCAAGGGGACCCAGGGAGCCATCAAGGCAAGTGGTCAGGTCCCTTCAAGGCAAACCCCCTTCCAAGACTGAAACTCAAATGGAATACACTAGCAAGCATATGGTCCTGCTGCTGACCACGTTGGTCACTGATAAGGGGAATTGGGGAGAAAACAACAATGCTCTGGGGTTCCCATGGCTACCACTGTTCTAACACAAGGCAGCAGCGTGAGCAGAGAGGAACAAATGGAGGATGGGAACTGGTGGATAACAATGGGCAACTTTTGGCCGCTAGGAATGAGCAACTTTTGGCCGCTAGGTCAGTACTTACCTTCACAGCTCTGCCAGTCCCCTGTCCTCAGCAAAGACTGTATTTCAACAATGGAGGAACACAGAGCTACCTTTCTTGTCAGATGTTCCTTAGCTGGTGACCTCCGCTGCTGGCTCCCAGAGGAGTACCAGGAAAAGAGCAAAAAACATCAAAAAAGGCTAAAGTCGAGAGCCGAAATCCCAACACTAAAGTACAAGCATTTGATACTCAGAAAACTCTAAGCCTATTAACTCTTACCTTAGATACTGTTTGCTTCAATGGGTAAATTGGATGCAGCATGTTAAATTGGGAGAGAGGGTTAAGATGGACACAATGGCAACAGTACAAAAATTACAGCGGATAAAGTTGATCACAAGACAAATTATAGATAACTAAGGACAATGTCTGAGATTTCAAAAATAATAGTAGACTGGAATGCTTTCTACTGCCTCCGTTCTGTACGTAACTCCTGAGGGCATCATTGGCCGACAGCACATTAATTGGTTTTCATTACAATGAACATGAATGATCCAATGAAGACTGAATTGTATTCACTTTGTTTTGCTTCAGAAGGCAGATACGTGTCCAATTTTAGAATGGTTCCTGCTGAACATTACAATGATTAAAAAATTTGGGTTTAATTGCCCTACGACTGTGTGACTTATAGTAAAGGAGCTCTGGTAGCGTAGTGGTTACAAATCGGACTGCGAACCTTAAGGTCAGTGGTTCGAAACTACCAGCCGCTCCGCGGGAGAAAGATGAGGCTTTCTACTCCGGTAAAGATTTACACCCTCGGAAACCCTGTATAGGGTCGCTATGGGTTGGAATCGACTCGACGGCACTTAACAACAACAACAACAGTGGAGTCCTGGTGTGGCACTGTGAGTTAATGCGCCAGACTGAAACGCCGTTTGAACTACAAGATCGGTGTTTCAAGCTCACCGGTCACTCTTTGGAAACCCTATGCAGGGTTGCTATGGTTTGGAACGGACTCGATGGCACTTAACAGCAACAACAACAACATGTGTCTGTGGGGAGCGTGGCAGCTTCATAGGATAAGTACTGGACTGTGAACCCCAATGTCAGCAGCTCGAGCCAATCAGCCACTTCATGGAAGAAAGATGAGGCTTTCTGCTCCCACAAAGTTTTTATTGTGTACTGAGTGATAGTTTACATGAAAGAACATCCACTTTACAGGATCGTTTCATTGCAATGATTACAATCTCCTCCGTGCATTATCCTTCAACAGTAGTATCTGCTTCCATTCCCTGTTTTGTGTTTTGTTTGTTTTTTTGTTTGGGGAAGGGGGATGTACACAGAAACACTCAGGAACATATAATCATTTAAACAACCAAACAGCACATTCTCCAAGCCTACCTCCTGACCACCAGCACCCTGTCCCTCTCTTTATATGAGTCTTGAGTCCTCAGCTGCTCTCTCTCTCCATGTTCCCATCTCTGCTTCCATCTCTGGTGTCACTGCTTCTCTGGATAGGGTCCCACACTCTGCTTGTGCTCTTTTATCTTGATGATACTAGGGTCCTCTTTTTCTGTACTGTAAGATTAACTATCCCCCCATTTTTACAAAACTTTTACCTTTACAGTTGTGACAGTTGCAATTGGCCATAACAGTTTCTCACTATTGAATCATAAGAATCTTGTCCCCATCTCTTTTCACCAGACCCATCTAGACAAGATAAAAACTATTCACTGGGGATTCTACCCTCCCCTGCACACTCTTAAACTAAACTCCCTGTTGAAAACATGTAAGCCAGTCACTTTGTGCCTTTCTTGCCCCCTCATTTTAGGTAGTCAATGGCCTAAGTTGCCCGTCCCTATCTACCCTGTGTACAGAGGTGATAGCATTGATACTTGATGTGAAGACTCCTTCCCTCTCAGTTAGTATTTTGAGTTACTACATCCATGAGTATAGGTTAAGTTCATCAAATTGTAGCAATTTACACTCGTTTCCTTTATCAAAAAAAAAAAAATTTTATCTTCCTCTAGTCGAGTTCTGATTATAAAGCCATTAAATGGATGGGTACTATCAGCAAGTATTGGCGTTCTTGTGCATCTCCCCTCGCTCCATATCACCTGGATGCTTCACTCTCAGCTCTAGCCCGCTGTGGCTATGTCCTTGTTCCTGGGCTCAGGAGTCCCCAGTCTCACCACAATTGGACCAACCAACACTTCCTCTTCTCTCTCTCATTTCCAGGTCAACAGGAATCTACGGAATGTGGTTGAACTCAGCCCATTTCTTCATTGTTGCCTTCCCCCCATCTTCCACTCACCAATAGATTAACATGGTCACCAGCAAGCTTACATGCCTGCTTATATGTTCCCTTTAAGTTTCAGTCTTAGAGGGGGAGTTTGTCCTGAAGGGACTTGATTGCTTGCCTTTATG